TAGAATTGGAGCTAATTCTAATGACCAGATTTTCAAAATAAAAAACTAGGACATCCCCGGTTTGAGTTGGTTGGTAATAGTAAAATTGTGAAATGAGTGCGCAATTAAGGAAAATTGTTCTGTACTTGGGGCACTCATGGCTAACATGTGAGTCAGTACAGTCACATTTTCTTTGTGTTTTGGCCATTTTAAGCAGCTTCTCTGTATTTTACCTAAACAAATTACAATTTATGCCTCTATTTACTGTTGGCAGGTGTCAAATTGCTTGAAAATAGGGACACCTGGGACATTTCTTGTGTAAAACTGCGACAAATTATTGGTTTTGGATATATCTGCAGGGACAAGGGACACAGGGCTCAAAACTGGGACTGTCCCAGGTAAATTGAGAGGTCTGGTCACCCTATAGACAACTTCTGTTCAAATCATGCTGGGGGTGTACGTCTATGTATTTCTGTGGCAGAATGTTTTATCAGTTACCATGGTGACACATGCACACATTAGCAATAACTACCAAAAAGGTTTAGATTGTCTGAAAACTGAAGAAAAAACACAAAATGGATTTAAACAACATATTTTCAAGAGTCTGTGATCGATATGAGAGTTCATGGTCCTGTTTAGGAGTTTGATTAACAAAAAAGGAGAGAGTGACTGAAAAAGTGTAGGCTAATGCTAGGTAGCTTTTGATAGTAATTTTGTGTGTTTAAGCCATGGATCTATAATAAAAACTGGATAAGGCATTACCCTTCTGTCCCGGCCCAAGATCGACTAGTGGCCGCTCCATCAGTACTCAGGAGCTTGGGCCTAGAAAGAAATTCTCCCATGAGCGCAATGCATTTTTTGGGACTTGAAACTGCCCGTGTTTGGCTGACAGGGCATTGGCAGCTTTCAAAAAGGCTGAATTTTGTAGGGATTCTTTTCTATTTTTGCAGCAAAAAACGTTTAAATCCTCAAAGCTCCTAAAAGTTAGCTTTTTATGGGTTACCCTAGTCCTGCTCTAGGTCCAACCAAATCAGATCTTTCTTGTTAGACTGTGTTAAAATAAAACTCCGATTATATCTAACTTGAGTAACAGCTTCTGACAGAGTAGTGCTTTCAGTTAGCGTCACGTACCCAAAGGAAGTTGATGACACAAGCTCCAAAGTATAAATTGCACAACTTTAAAGGTCCTGTGTTGTTTAATAGGATTAGGCATTATAAGTAATCTAAACCCTATCAGTCATGTCAACATTCTAATGGGATTGTTATTGGCTCACTGTCATGCGAATGACCAAATAAACTAAACAAAAATGATGAATGATCATAATAACATTTTGTTCAGTGCATTTGAATCTACTTCCTCAAAGATGCTGAGGTCCATATGACGCCATCATCTCCAGGCCGGGGGATAGAAGCAGGAGGTCGGGGGCATGAGCTCTCCCTAAAGGTGCAATTAGAGCACAGCTTCAGGAACAGGCAGATACTCTCCTGTTCTCAGCACAACACTGTTACAAATTAATAAGTCTGTCACATGAAGGCTACAACAACAACAAGAGCCAAGAGGTTTAGACCACATCTTAACTATTGGAAAGTATACAGAAAACAGCTGCCTCACCACAGTGACCAGGAAATACTAAACTGACATATCACTGTCATCAGCGGTGGATAAAGTACTCAACTTTGTTACTTAAGTAAAAGTAGAGATACATCTAGTAAAACTATTGAAGTACCTGTTTAAAAATGTCCTTAAAGAAGAAAAAAAAAAAGGTTTTCACATTGATTTTTTCTAACAATTAAAGCGTAGTGATAATGAATAAAAATGTAGCTGCTTTAAGTGATAAAATTGATTTCTAATTTTTTCTAGCATAGTTGTGTATTTGGTTTGTGCAAAGTTGGCACATTCTCTGCTTATTCAAATCATAAAGAAAAGTAGTTTTACTTTTCAGTCCAGATCTATAATGTAGTGGAGAAGAAAGTGCAGATACTTTCTGCTCTCAAAATACTTTAGGCTTTCAAACAAAGTGTAAATAAAAGTATGTAAGTACCACAGTAAATATATAAAAGTATCCACAGTAAATAAATTACTTAAGTGAAGCACAGATACCTAAAAGTTTTACTTAAGTATTGTACTTTCACTGTTGTATTTTGTTACTTTCCACCACTACGTTTATGAATAATAGCTAGTCTCTCACCTCTTACTTGGTCTGTGCAATCCCTGTGTCATCCAGGCAGGATTCATGAAGGCCTTTCAGTCATGTTTAACCTCTTTTGACAGTCCTAAAAACAGGAGAAAGGTTTAAACAAGAACATACAGTAATACACACAGTACACTGAGGACAGGCAAAACTATTTATAAAGTACAAAATATTTTAGTTTTTTTTTTTTTTTTTTAATCTTTGTAATATCTGATTATGCCTAGTTAAAGATGTAATAAAGGCTACAGATCAATAAAGAAAATTCAAAACCATTCACAGTTTTTTAAGGTTAGGGCCAGTTGGTATGCTGACTAGAAAACTTGACTTAAAAAAAAAACCCTCTTTATTGATACTTCAAGTTACACTTAATGTGACCTTTTTTTAAACACAATGTGACCAGAAAGAGCTGATTTTGTTGGAACTACAGCAGGTGAGATGATTTGTGTGGTTAAAAAAGCCTCTCACACATAAAATTACAATCACAAACAAGCAAGTAAGTTTTTTAGTTAGTCACTCTCACCTTTTGTTGAAGATCAAACACCTGAACAGGACCATGAACACTTGCACTGATCCCAAGCTCCTGAAATAGTGCTGTTTAAATCAATTTTGGTATTTTCTTGAGTTTTCAGACTCACATCTTAAAACTTTTTAGACAGAGTTTGCTAATGTGTACAGTGTCCCCATGGTAATAGCTGAACATTCTGCTAATAGAGATGCATGTAGAACACCCCCAGCATGACACTGAAAAGTATAAATATCTCATAACAGGAGTTTAACTGTGCTCTCATTAGAATTTTATTATTATTTTTTATATAATGCATGGCTAAACTCTTTCAAAACATTGCAGTAGGCCATGTATCCCTCTTCATTTAATTCAGTAAAAACAGCTTAGATCTTCTCAGATGGGGTGGTGCTCTTTGGGGACGACCTGAGCCTCAAAACAGCATTAATTTTACAAGCGTTGCATCCGCGTCTGCTTCAGCTGGAAATTAATATTTAAACATGTTCTGGCAATAATCACGCTGTGGGCCTACATTTTGAGTTACAGACTGTAGTGCTTTGACTGACACTTTGTAGATGGCATGTATGTACAGAGCAGCTCACATATGGGATCATGAAACAGCAGAGCACAAAGCAGCTGGTCCACACTAGAGCCTTGTCAGATAAAAGACAATTCCTCTTCAGTCTCCCCACTACGGGAAAATATTCACTTCTCCCGATTTACTTCAAGAATCCGATTGGCTGAATAATTACCAAAGACAATCAAGACCGTTACTGATAAAGATACAGTGACAACTTTTTTTTAAATGGCTGACAGTAAAATAACAAATTGCAAGTTGTTAAAGGCCATGTAAATCAGTGTATCATTCGTTCATTTGTTTTTCAAAATAAAACCAAAAATAAGAAAACAAAAAAACTACTATTTTCTTCATTCGTCTCCAAAACCAAAATGAAAAGATGGATAATGATTTGATTTTTCAGTTTTCAATTTTGTGTTTAAATGAATAATGGAAAAAACGGATAACGGCCCTTTCCCATTTCTGTGACAAACTGTGATGCCGGACTGAATCAGAACTGAACCGGGACTGAACCAGGACTGAACCAGGACTAAAACAGGACTAAACCAGGACTGAATCAGGAGTGTCAAGACTGGAGTTGCGCCCATGTAGACTGTAGGGTGATCAGGACTGAGGCCAGGACCAGACTGGAACTAGACCAGGACTGAGACCAGGATCAGACCGGGTCCAGACCAGGATTGAGACCGGGACCAGGACTGAGACAGAAACTGAGACCGGGACTTAGACCGGAACCAGACCAGGACAAGATCAGGACTGAGACTAGGACTGAGAATGGAACTAAGACCAGGACTGAGACCAGGACTGAGACAGGTTTAATCCTGGTTTAGTCCTGGTTTAGACTTGGATTAACCCTGGTTCAGTTCTGGTTTAGTCCTGGTTTAGACTTGGATTAGCCCTGGTTCAGTTCTGGTTTAGTCCTGGTTTAGACCTGGTTTAGTCCTGTTATAGTCCTGGTTCAGTCCTGGGATCAGTCCTGGATCAATCCAAAAGTCCGGCATCGCAGTTTAAGTCACGAAAATGGGAAAGAGCTGTTATCTGTTTTTTCCGTTATTCATTTAAACACAAAATTGAAAACTGAAAAAAACTAATAGTTATCCGTTTTTTCATTTTGGTTTTGGAGACAAATAATGAAGAAAATAATATTTTTTTTGTTTTCTTAGTTTTGGTTTTATATTAAAAAACGATACACGGATTCATATATTACGCTATTGTCTGATCTATGTTAAAATGTTGCCCTGCATATTTAGGCTGATTTAAAAAACACAGTTTCAACTTATAATGTATCTGTAGCTGAAATTATCCACATGATTCTAGTGACGGGAGTTTAAAAACATAGTGGAGCACTTCCCGTGTTACCACATGACATCACCAAGTGGAACAGGGTCTTTTCTTTTTAAGGGAAGCCAGCCTAAATATGCAAGATTTGTGTGTTAAACACGTGTGAATGAAGCAAAACACAACTCCAGAAATGTTTGTGATGAGGAAACATTATAACATAGATCAGAAAATAGCGTAACAAAGACTCTTAAAATAAAATATCGCAATAATATCATTGTTGCGTGTTTTTCTCATATCGTACAGCCCTAGAGTGGTAATTCTCAGGTCACATGTTTCTGCTGGAGAGTGATAACGTGTTTCTCTCACAGGTGGTCCAGTGAGGTGCTCCCTTCGTGGCCCCCTGCTGGTGGACAACAATCTGACAGCTTCATGAGTGTGTGCTGATTGGCCCATTGAGTTTGTGAGAGGCACCATGCTGTGGACCGTGCTCCTCGCTCTGCTGGTACTGGTGCTGCTGCAGACTCAACTGTCGGTGTGCCTGAGGGAATTACGCTCCGGGAGCTCTACCCCTCACACCTCCTCCTCCTCTTCCTCCTCCTCCTCTTCCTCTTCTTCTGCCCTGTACAATGGCACCCAACAGCGCCTGCCCGGGGCCATCATCATCGGTGTGAGGAAAGGAGGTACCCGGGCTCTGCTGGAGATGCTCAACCTGCACCCAGACGTGGAGGTGGCAAAAGCTGAGGTAAAACTACAGGCTCCAAACCTAGAAACTTCAGGATAAGTGGGAAAGCATAAAGATGAGAAATGACCTAGTTTTTCAAAATTATAATAGCGTGAGGGCCTGGTCTGCACACATCATCAGTATTCAAATGCTTCCTATTGAGTTGTTAGGACGGTATAATACAAACATAAATGAAACTGGGATGCCATTAGCTAAAGTTCCATTAAAGAGCAGTGTCTGGCAAAAGGCAATCCAAAGTGAAGAGTTCATTCTGCTCTCTGATTGAACTGGTTTGAGTTAATCAATCAACTGAGTTAAAGATACTCTATGTAACTTTTTTGGTGGTCCAACACTTCCTTCTTTTTTCTATGTATGCTATTTTTTTGCTTGTTTCACAATACATTGTAATCACTGTAATTGAATTCATATAGAAAATAGACGAGATATACTGATCAGCATTCTAGACAAGATAGAACATCTCTGTGGATGCAAGCAGATGGCAAACCCTTCACCAGAAAAGTTACATAGTGCACCTTTAAATGGCTTACACAAACACAAACACACTTATATTATACTTTAAATCAGTGTTTCGCAAACTTTTTTCTGAGGACCCATATTTTACATGTCACAAAGCTTCGTGACCCAAGTCAATAGGCATTATTCGTAATTCACAAAATAAAGGTGGATTTGAACATCATTGAACATTAATGAGGATATTTTATTATTCGTGTCTCTCTAGACAATTAGTATTACTCAAGTTTTGAACAATGAAAAACAGTAAATGAACAAGCAATGAAAGGTATCCAGAAGTCGCCTATTTCTATATAGTATACTGCAGAGTCTATCTGTATATAATATATTGCAGACCTACATGCAGATTGTGACATGGCGACCCCAAAGAAATCTCCTGTGACCCACCTAAGGGTCGCAGTTCAGTCTTTGGGAAGCAATGCTTTAAATTACTTTAAATTAGTAAGTGACAACATTTCAGTTGTTGTCACCTAAACCAATAATTTATATAGTTACAGCTGAGGACACAAATAGATAATACTTGAAATATTAAAATAATAATCATGCATATACTGTACAGAGTCTGTATTATGCTATGTTCTGATCTATGTTATAACGTTGTATAAAAAATACCCAGAGTTGTGTTTTGTTTCATTCACTCATGTCCACCTTGTGATGTCATGTGGTAATACAGGAGTGCTCCACAATGTTTTCAAACTTCATAAACCTTCACTAGAATCATTTGAATGATTTCAGATGTGAAATTGCTACTGAATTAAAGGTAAACGATAACTTGAAAACTACCTATGGGTATGCAGACAGTCTAATAATCCAAGATTACTCAAATGTGTAAATGAAACAAAACAGAACTCTGCATATATGTCTGATGAGGTAACAACATTTTAACATGGCCTGAAGCTCCCAAGAGTCAGTTTAGCATAATGTAGGACTTTTATTTTGTGCATCTTGTGATTGTCAGGTTCATTACTTCAACGTGGAGGAGCACTACCATCGTGGCCTGTCCTGGTACCGCTCCCAGATGCCCTTCACCCTCCCCAGCCAGCTCACTGTGGAGAAGACCCCCGGCTACTTCTCTGCCCCCCTGGTCCCTGCTCGAGTGTGGGATATGAACCCAGCCGTGCGCTTGCTCCTGATCGTCCGAGACCCCGCGGAGAGGGTGGTGTCCGACTACACCCAAGTCCTCCACAACCGGCTGACACGACACAAGCCCTACCAACCTCTGGAGGAGCTGTTACTGCAAAAGGGACACATAAACCCTAAATATAAGGCATTACAAAGGAGTCTATACTACCAGCATTTGACCCGTTGGCTGGAGGTCTTCCCCCGAGATCAAATTCACGTTGTGGACGGCGACGCGCTCATTCGAGACCCTTTCCCAGAGCTCAAAAAGGCCGAACACTTTCTACAACTGGCTCCAAAAATTACCCCCAGCAATTTCTATTACAACACAACTAAAGGTTTCTACTGTATGCTAACTGCGGGACATGATAAGTGCCTGGATGAGTCAAAAGGCAGACCGCATGCCCCGCTAAGCACCCAGGTGTTCAAGAAGCTTTGCCACTACTTCAGGAAGCCAAACAAGCTGTTCTTTGAAATGGTGGGTCGGTCATTTTCCTGGTGCTGATCCAGGAATTTTGACTAAAGACATTTGGGAATATTGCTAGACATTCAGGGTTGCAGTTGTTGAAACCATAGACTGTATAAAGAAGTGGACTAAGGGAGTGAGACGTCACATAGCGTCCAGTTGCATTCAAATGAAGCTAATGACAATAGCAGTCCTGGGGTGAATTTGGAGCCAGTTCCATATTAGAAATAGGAATTTATTTACAGACAAAATAGCAAAATAAAAACATTATGTAGTGCAGGTTAATATGAACATTTTAAGACCAAAATGACGAGGCTCACTGCAGCAGTTACAGAGAGAGGGGTGCCAATTTTCAGTGTAAAGTCAATTGGAAGCAGAGTCGATGGAGGCACAGTCTATGGATGAAAGTGTAACTTATTTACTCAGGTTTAAAAGTGGCCAGAAAAGAGAACTTTAGATGGCTGCAATGCAAATCTTTACAATGTGATCATTCAGGTGCCTCTATGAATGACATGAACATAATGACACAATGCCATAAGTGTTGACTGGAAGTGCAAAAAGTGTACAGAGAAACATGGATTAATAAATGTTGCACTATTTGGACTATCATAAAGGTGCACTGTGTAACTTTTCTAGCGGAGGGTTCACCATCTGCTCATCACCAAGGAGATGTTATTATGATTCATATATGCCCTCTTAAAATCCTTTCAAATACAACTGTGAAAACAAACAATAATGTAACTAACTAATTATTGCTTGCTAGAAATGTTGCACAGTATTTCATTAAACTCATCTAACTCAATGAGGGCAAGAATGTGACACCACTGGGCCAAGTTACAGGACAGATTTATGGAGAGGCGAGTCCACTCACATAAGAATTCATGTATTTCAATGTTTTCTTAAAGCAATAAAAGCACCTGTAACTAATGCAAGACACATTTATTGCCATACTGTGGAACATCAAAAAGAAACGGAGGCAAGCAGGTTGCAAACTCTCCACCAAACAGTTACACTGTGCATCTTTAAATCTACCAATCAATTTGGGGTCTTATTTTTGTGGGGTACTAGAAGTATTTTAGCGTGATCATTTTGTTTACTTCGGATTGGCAATTCACTTATTATTTTTTGTTACTCAATTTGAAAATAGTGTTTTGCTTTTGTTTGTTTTTTGCTTCCAAGGCCAGTACATTGGTACATTTGTGCCTGTGATTTTTGTAAATTTTCAATAAAAATAGCTCAGCCTTAACTCTCTTTGTGTTTGTACAGTCTTAATGGGTAAAAGGTAGGGTAAATGTTTAAAGGGCCCACATTACTCTATTATCTAATCTGTTAGAATATTGTTTCCTTGTCAGAAACATACCTGAAGTTGTATTTTGTTTAATTCTCTCATGTTCAACACACAAATCCTGCATAATTTGGCTGAGTTCTTCTTTCAGACACAAAACATTCACTTCACTCTTGTGATGTCATGTGGCAATACAGTTCCTATGCCTATTACAACCCTGCAGATTATCCTTATGTACTATGACCTTTCCTCGTTGTCCAATAATGTACAAAAACATACTTATAATTAAATGATATGCCTCTTTAGATGAATAAGGGGGCATCCTCCACACAAATGGGCAAACAGATATTTCCTGCATAGAAGTATATAATTGTAAGACTAAAGGTCCTGTCTCCATCTCCAAAGCTCAAAATGCTCTGTTCCACCTTGTGATGTGACATGAGATCATTTTTTATATTAACATAATAAAAGGCATAGCACATTAATAGGCTAGTTGGAAGATTATTTGTCATACAGGTATCTAGTTAGTTACTTCATTATGATTAATTAATTCAATATAACTCCTTAGATTGAATTACAATTTTTCAGATGGTTTTCCGGATCCACCAAAATCTTTCCCAGTTCTTTTACCCTAACATATACAATTAGTCAGGCAGTATTCCTGACAGGCAGTTGTATACTTAAGCTAAGACTGTCAGTGCAAACGTAGCTGTAACTAACATTAGGGTTTACTGAGTTTTAATGCGACTCATAACCTGCACCTGTCAGACACATAAAGGAGCAGTTCTAAGAGGAGGCAGCTATGTTAGATGGAGTTGTCCTCTGTCATCTTAAGTTAACATGTTCTTTACATTCAGGATCAAAGGAAGCCCACGTTTATTTTCATCATCAACTAATTCTTGTGTAGGAATTACCACAGATTTCACCAGCGCAGCGGCTACAAGTGTCTGCATACATCTGTCAGCTTAAATCTCTGTATGTGGATTAATTTAGGGCATGTGTAGGCTATATGGGCAAGATGGGCAGAGCAAATCAAAGCATTTTTTTTCCATTCAAAGATACACAAAGAAAAACCTACTTCTTACAGAGCATATTTCTGATCTTTGTTATAATGTTGTCTCCTCATCAAAAACATACTTGGAGTTGTGTTTTGTTTCATTTACACATGTTTAACCCTGCATATTTAGGCTGAGTCTCTCAAACATAAAACACTTTGTTCCACCTTGTGATGTTATGTGGTAATACGTGAAATGCTCCACTCCATAGGCCTTCCTTCACTAGAATCATTTGGATGATTTCAGGCCTGGAATTGTACATCTCTACTGAACAAAATGTTGTTTAAATGCTGTTAACTTGAAAACTACCACTTCATGGCATCACAAGGAACCAAGCATTTTGAGCTTTGGAGATGTAGACAATAAAGTATCACTCAAACATGTGTGAATGAAACAACTTCAGAGTCAACTTCAGATATGTTTTTGATTTGAGTAACCACATTATAACATGGCTTAAAGCTAACAAGAATCTATTTTGCGCAATATGACTGACCTCGAATAACTTACAATAAATACTACGCAAATGTTGCATCAAGTTTTGTTTGAGTCTTATCACTTAAATCTTATTATTATTTGTTACATTCCACAGACTTGTCATATTAAGGTTACTGCTTCAAGTCCCTTCAACTGACATCAACCACGTGTTTATGGTTGAATCATAACTTTAGTTTATTTATTCCCAAGACACAAGACAAAGAAGATGCTGAACTTTGTCCCAGTAAGTTTTTGATGTATTCCAACTCATACTTGCAGTGGTAGATATAAATTAAACTAAGCTAAATTACTTTTTGAATATATTGTACTTTAATTGGTTGCTGAGAAATTATCCATTCACTTGTACTTGAATACTCAGTACTTCAGCTTACTTGTTTCCCTGTAGAGAATGGAAGCTGATGGCTGACCTCTAGCTGTCACGCTCTGAATGTTCTTGAGAGACTGTTCACTGTAGACAGAGATGTAAGAATAAACAAATGGTCTGGGCTCTTTGAAGATGTGAGGCCGCTGCAGCTTTTATGTATTTCCATGGAGACCCCAGCTCATGCAAACAATATATGCAACGCCACAGCCAATCACCTTCATCTATGGAAAAATCATGAAGTCACAGAAGTTTAACAAAGGGAAAGTAACATCTTCACCAAGGCTGCATGGACAATTACTCTGCAGGCCTACACTATACCCAAAATGATGGTGAGATTTCTATTCTAACTCTGTATTAGCCTCTATGCAAATGAGTCCTCTTTTCTGTTTTTGTACATTAATTGATAATAACCAGAGCTGGAAATGGGAATTAGCTTTAAGTTAAAACAAGAAAGATCTGTATTAAATCATTAAAAGATGCATGAAAGGTGCCCTTTTGCAACTTTTAGAGGGTTCACCACCTGTATTTTCAGTTTTACTGCCTGGAATGTTCCACAGTATGGCATATAACAAGTCCATCTCCACTGAAACAAGCAGGTGATGCAACCAGACAATGTAAAAGGTCAGATCTGTGTAGAGGCAAGGCCAGTTAAGTCTTAGAGTAAGAATGCATGTTTTAAGTTTAAAGCCTGTTGAAAGCAATAACATCTCAAGGTAGAAGAGCGGGTGGCACAAAAGTTACATAGTGCACCTTTAAATTACGAATGACCTTTTAAATAGATCAAAAATAGTAAACTAAGCAGTTACTCAGTTTCATATGATTTCTTGTCAGTGAACTGAAACTCGGGCATGGCTGTGATATTTTTTCGACACAGAGCTTTTTGTTCCTGTTACCCTTTGAGATGATGTCTTCTGATGTCTCCATTTCATTTGCAGCTCATACAAATATGATCTCACACTGACACTGAACTGCAAAGGCAACAGGGGTGACAAGTCAGAAAAATGGCAAATTGTCCTGAAAATGTAGTGCTTTGACACAAAAAAAAAAAAAAAGTGCGACCGATTATAATTATTTTTTTATTTTATTTAAGTTATCTAACATCAGCCAAATTTAGCTTATGCAATGTCATTAAAGAATACTGCGTGGTAACCAGTAAGTTACACAGAAAATAAATTAATACATAGGCCTACCTGATAAAAAAAAAAAAAAAAAAAAAAAGAATTAGGTTTTAGAAGAATAGACGGATTCATTTTTATTGAAGAATGAAAAAGAAAAGAAAAAAACAACAACTCTCCACTTGCCACGCTGAAAATTAGTATTAAACATAAAACTTTTGAAAACGAAGTGTGCCCAAAATCTTGCTAATGCACGGGAACCATGGTGGGAACAGAGGTGCATGTAGCCTTTTGTGAATACAGGTAAACAGGGATAGTCTACCCCCTGGTGGGCAAAGATGAAAACAACCTCCTCCTGACTCGAACTGTACATGATAACAGGTACACATTATAAAATTAAGACTTAGAACTTACGACCTTTATTATATTGTTACAGTTAACAGTGCTGCAGAAAGATTAAGCCTCTGAAATCTTATGTTTTTTTTTACTCTTAGAGCTTAATTAGAACAATTGTTTTGTTCCTAAGGTTTGTCTTCCATTCCAAGTACCCCCTTACTTGAGATTATAAAGTTGTCAAATAAATCTGTTGAATTTTTTAGCAAATTACTTATTACTACTATTTACTGTTTTAACTATATTCATGTTCAAGACTATGTAAAAGGTGTGTATTGCGCAGCTTTTCTGGTGGAGGGTCCACTACCTGCTCTATGGAGATGTTATTGCTTTCCTCGGAATGTTTCATGGTATAAAATTAAACATATACATCTAGCACTTATTCATTACGTGTGTCTATTCCATTTCTATACTCAAAAATACAATAACTCCTTCTGTGAATAAATCTGAATTGTAAAGTAGCATAGTGCTGTAACCCGCTTGTCTCCCTCATGACAGGGAGACCACAGTAATCTATACTGTGGAAAATTCTAGACAAAGCAATAACATTTCCGTTAAGACAAGCAGACCCTCCACTAGAAATGTTCTGCAGTGCATGTTTAAGGATGTAAAATGTCCACAAAGAAAATTGTATATTCAAATACCAATTTACTTCCACCTTAAATCTAACATCTTTCTCAGAACTTCTAAATGTCAGCATACCCTAGTGGCTCACATATTCTTGGTTGGGGAAATACTGACATAAATAACCCACTGTAGAAGAAGACAATTTGAAAAAGTCATGTTTTAATACAACACTATTTTGTGCAGTTCAAAATATTACAGTAAAGGTCAAGAATAAAACAGAGCACCATTTCATATTTGCCATTTTGTTCTTTCCAAAAGTTTCATTTAAAAAGTTTGTATTATAGTAAATATTGTAACACAAAAATAACCACAGGAACAAGTTCTGTATATAAAAATGGTTTAACAATTTCTTTCAGTATAAAACATTACAGAATTCAAAGCCAATCAAACAAATTCACTGTCAACTGAAATGATCATGAACTTCCCAGCCAAACTCTAAATGACATACAAAAGGATTGCGATTAAAGAGGTTTCTGTACTTTTTTTTTTTCTAAATATGGGAGTAAATAACAAAGACTAACAATCACTCTTTGCTTGCTAAAATAACAATAAAAAAGGACAAAAGTGAAAACTCCTGGTCCAATCAAACACCAAGCCCAAATATTTCTGGTCAATGTGGCATCTACACAGTCTTCTGTTGGCCCTTCTTCCCAATAAGGGATTTGTGGATGTGGGGAATGACACCTGAAAATAAAGTTAAACATTTGGTTACAAGCAATACACGTACACATAAAAAAACAATTTTATTTATTTTAAACCATATTTTCTGTGACAAATTTAAACATAATACTAAAATATAACGCAATAAACAAGGTCAATTTACCTCCTCCAGCAATTGTAGCTTTGATGAGGGAATCCAACTCTTCATCACCACGAATGGCAAGCTGCAAGTGACGGGGAGTAATACGCTTCACCTTCAAGTCTTTGGAGGCATTTCCAGCCAACTCTAGCACCTACAGAAAAGACAATGCACAACAAACATTAGAAGTAAATCAAGGGATAATTCTACCAGTATGCATAATTTAGAAGTGCTTACTTCAGCAGTGAGGTACTCAAGGATAGCTGCACTGTACACAGCTGCTGTGGCTCCAACTCGACCATGGCTGGTTGTGCGGGTCTTTAAGTGCCTGTGGATACGGCCCACAGGAAACTGATACAAAAACAAATACAATGTGTGATGTTAATGACAAGAGCAGCACAATGTCTGCAAAGGATGTGTTCAACCTTACCTGAAGACCAGCTCTCTGTGAGCGGGACACTGCCTTGGCCTTGGCTTTTCCACTGTCTTTACCTGCTTTGCCACCAGCCTGAATTAAGGAGAACCACGTCAAAAATGCATCCAATAAATGAGTACACCATAAAAATTGTGACCATATAGAAAAATAAAATAACAAAAAGGTGCTTTATATACTGGGTAACACGTCTTCCTGTGAAAACACTGATGGGACCCCATGGACGGAACAGGCGGGCCATATGCCTCAGTATTTACTTATGCCCCGTGTAACTGTCACTTTCCCGCCAATCAAATATAACAGTGTTAGCGTTAACAGTTCAGCATGCAACACTATTCATCCAATATAGTACTAACATGTGTCTAAAATTAACCAAAAAGATCAATCTGCATCAATATTGATTTTGAAGTATGGGCGTCTGTCATCCAGGTGCGTCAAGAGCTGGTCAAAACCAAAACAAACCAGCGGCGCCGCTTTTAAAGCTCCGTTTTCTACAAAAAACTTTATCAGCGAATTAAAACGGAACATGTTAAAGTTGACAGTGTTAAGAAGAGGAGGCATTGTCCATTTCAGTCCTTTTGACGAGCAGTTAAAATGAAAAAGTTACACATCTCGACATAGCGCTTTTCCATGACCCACAGGAAAGCATTGAAACGGCTAAAGTTAGCTTAGCGTGCTAATACTGCTAAACCACCAAGAGGAGAAGCTGCGAGCGTCAAAACAATGGACAATTTAATACAGTGCACGGGTGTATCGGTCCGTAACAGTACCCGAGATAACACAAAACGGCGCTAAAACTGCATTTTTATCTGAACATGTGATAGCAATTGAACCCGTGCTGATAACGACAGGAGCTAGTTCCATGTTAGCCCTTTAGCTACCATTGTAACTACACACCTAATGTTAAAATACCGCTTCAAACCAAAGCTGTCGTTTTGGGGAAACACTTAAAACGCAGTGCAAGCTCCAATGACAGTTTTACACATGCTGCGGGTGCACATACCATTTTTTCGCTTCGTTATTTGATTGAAGAACCAAATCGATGGCCAACAATTTCGGCTCCTGAGAGCAAAGAAACAATAAACCTCTTTGGAAATCTTTTACATGCAAACCCTCGTGGAGACCGTATTGACCAATCACAATCACGGTTCTTGCTTCGAATATTAGATCTAACCAATCCGCGCACACTTTACACAGCGTGCCCATCCCCCACCAGCTCACGGCGGCTTTAGCACGAACCCGGCCTGTAGGCGGGACAGTGCGGAGTGTCCTTCCAGGGGCTGCACAAAAATGTCAAAAATACATTAATACCTGTCTTGTCATTGTGCTTCTGCTGCTTAATAAATATAATTAACGTATTCTGTACAAGTGTCCATTTTCTGTGGGCACTATTTCATTACATATGTAAAAAAAAAAAAAAAAAAAAAACCAAATCATATTGTTATTAGATTTCAATAGATACAGTATTGAACTCCATAACCCCATTACAGTCGCAGACACTTGTGGACTCCAGCAGCGTATAAATGCTATTATATATTAATTATAGACAGGGAAATAAACCAATCAAAGCGCAAAGTTGTTCTGCTATCATTAAACTGACATTTCCCTGGGCCAATCGCACGGCTCTAAAGCGCGTCCGGTTTCCTCCGTGGGCTCGGCAGGCTCAGGGGGTGGGGGTCAGAGAAACGCAGAGAGACGGGCTGCTGGTGGCGAAGATGGCGGATGGGGACAGTGGCAGTGAGCGCGGTGGCAGCAGCGGCGGTGGAGGGGGTGGTGGCGGAGGTTTCCAGCACTACCAGCGGGAGTCGGAGACCCAGGAGCTGGCCTCGAAGCGGTTGGACATTCAGAACAAGCGCTTCTACCTGGACGTGAAGCAGAACGCTAAAGGCCGGTTCATTAAAATCGCCGAGGTGGGTGCCGGGGGCTCCAAAAGTCGACTGACCCTGTCCATGTCAGTGGCGGCGGAGTTCCGTGACTACCTGGGGGATTTTATAGAGCACTACGCCCAGCTGGGGCCTAGCACTCCGGAGCAGATTGCTCAGTCATCCGGTGGGGATGACACCGGGCCTAGACGGGCCTTGAAGAGCGAGTTCCTGGTGCGGGAGAACCGCAAATACTACCTCGACCTAAAAGAAAACCAGCGGGGCCGCTTCCTCCGGATCAGACAGACCGTAAACCGAGGCCCGGGGTTCGGAGTCGGTATGGGCGGCATGCAGGGTGCTGGCATGCAGGCCGGGCAAACCATCGCTCTCCCGGCTCAGGGCTTAATTGAGTTCCGTGATGCCCTCGCCAAGTTAATAGACGACTACGGGGGAGATGAGGAGGAGCTGTCCGGTGGCGGAGGGGCCGGGGGTTACAGCGAGCTCCCCGAGGGCACCTCCATCATGGTGGACTCCAAGCGTTTCTTCTTTGACGTGGGGTCCAACAAGTACGGAGTGTTCCTGCGAAGTTAAACCCAGTTACAGAAACTCTATAACTATCCCGTTTAAAGCATGGAGTAAGTTTGGAGGGGCGTTCAGTCGCTACGCAGAGGAGATGAAAGAGATCCAGGAGCGGCACCGGGATAAGATGTACGAGAGGAGAGGCGGAGAGGAGTCCGAGGGGGACGATGTGGACGACGACTGAGCCAGCGCTGCTGCTCGGGAGGAAGCTGACAACATGATGCAAAGCCTGGAGATTAACAGAAAGAGAGGAGCGACTTATGTGCATGACGAACTTTAAAAACAACGGAGTTAATTAAAAGTATAATTGACTGAAAAATTTACTGTCTATATAAGAGAATGATGTTTAAGTGTAGGTGGATGTTATAGATAAGTGAGTACAGACTGCAGTAGTCAGCTCCTGTTTAAGATTCCCCTTAATTAAATAATATATAAGTATATATGAATATATATGATTGTCCGTTTGATAACCTCAAGCAGCCCAACAAATTAAGCTTGACAGTGCTGGAGACAGGATGCACTTGGTCCCACTTCCTGGTTGTGCAGTGCTAGAACTCACCTGGTGCAGGACAGGTGTAGGATGGGGGCTCTATGGGAAGACAGCCCCCCTGGCCCATCACCATGGCTGTTGTGTGTGTGCTTTTCTGTCCTATTGTCTCACCTGGACCAGCCCAGATCAAACCCAACCCACAGAGCCAGCTTGAGGAGGGCATAGGGCATGGCAGGGCACCCACATCCATTATGGTGATCTGTTACAAGCACACTGCTCATTTGGATTTTGAGGACAATCCAAAAGAGCTTAAATGGCCCTGTATCCCTTGTCACTCCTCCCTCGAGTGTTGATGTCCTGTCCCACTGCTTTAGGGTGTCTCAGGGTTGCCGTGTCCCTCCTGTACCTAGGGGTCTGTCTTCACCTGAGCGTCTCTTGCTTGTGTCAGCTGCTGTTATCTGGCTGGATGCGGGCCCATGTGTTTTGTGACCTCAATGACCTTAGTCTCCGATGGGCAGCAGGTCTCTAGCATTGGTCTCCAAGAAAAAGCTTAATGTTGCTGGGCTTGAGCGACAGTCTCCAGGGAACTGGCCTTGTTGACGTACATAGGGTGCACCATTTGGATCCTTTAATCTTGAACTCAGACCAATAACGACTGAAGCAGATTCAGTCTGATTGTAAGAATTTAGGTGCTTTTTGGAAAACAAAAACCCATCCGCCGGGTGCTATAAGGAAAGAAAAAGATATATATAACTTACTGGAAGAGATTTAGTTACAACAGATCAATTATAGATAGAATTATTTTTCAAAAGAGATTTATTGCAATATGTCTTAGAGATATAAGACATTTATTAGATAATGCTGCCTAAAGTGGCTTATTTAAAACACTAAGCTTGGATGCAAATGTCCAGGGTAATATTTCATACCTGCTTTTTCCTAACATTTCTGTTATTCCTTAGAGGAAGTAAAAAGAGTACACAAATTGATAACAGTATGTTATTGCAATTTCTATTAAAACAAATATGACTTCATTGAAGTAGTTTGTCAGCAAACTTTCAGCACTCCAGTTCACTTTACAAAGCATCAAGTTGTCCCTTGTTTCAGTCCACCGTTCATGTCTCTCACTATACGGCTTTACATCAGTTCGATGCAAACATAAACATCGCTACATTTAGTCTGTAGTGTTCCTTTCCAATATGGTCATATTTTTGCATGCCTGCTCCTGCGCCGAGCCGCCTTGTGTTTTTTCTTTTGCATATTCTGATTGCTGTATGATGGTATTTATCCAGTTGGAGAGCGGTTTTAAGATTTCTTTATGTATTGCATTGGAAAGTTTATTCTCAGCCTAATAAAAGCCACAAAGTTCCCACGCTTTGGGGAATGTCACGTTCATTGTCCCGCTTCCTTTGACACCTCGTTGAATTTTACTTTAGCCATGTTGACACAGCAGACAAATGCCATACTAAAATATACACCTGGGAGCAATATCTTTCTTTTCTATTGAAGTATATATGATATTACACATACAATTGAACTTCACCCTTCTTCCTGTACTGTGTTATGTGAAATGGCAGCTGTTTCAGTCATGTGTGTTCTGCTGTAATATTCTAAAAAGTTCCTTTCAACGAGAAATAAAACTATGTTTTTGCTCAGGAGAGGTGTGATCTTTGCAATCAACATTGACACTAGATACAGAACTGTTGTAGAAGTTAAAATTAAGGATTAAAGAAAAATTAGATGAGGCTAATCAGAACAGATAGTTTCTTCTGCCCGTATTACACAATGTTTCTATGATATAATGTTTCTTCATCAGAACATTCACACATGTTTAACACACAAACCCTGCATATTTAGACTTATTTCCACCCTGTGATGTCATACATTGTGGTAATACAGGAACTGCTCCACTGAGTTTTTAAACTATACGCCTTCACTATAATAATTTAGATGATTTCAGGCCTGGAATTTCTTTACTGAACAAAAGGGAAAAGGTATTTATTCAGTTGAAATCACAAGGTGGAAAATAGCATTTAATAGACAGACTAATAATAAAAGGTTACTCAAGTGTGTGAATGAAATAAAACACAACTCCAGGTATGTTTTCCATAAGGTAACAGCAATCTAACATGGCTTAAAGCTCACAAGAGTATTGCTTTAATCAGCAATGCTGAGAGATGTTTTTTTTTATTCTAAAATGTATGAAATGTCATTACAAACTTGAGGTGGGGTTACTTTGGCCACTAGGAGGAGCACTACTGAGATGCGGTCCTGAGCCATGACCTTGTGGAAGAGTCACTTCTGTATCTTATGCGCCACACTTTTAGGCCTAGAATCGAATCAAATTTATGCAAATAGTTAAAGTATGAAGTATGAATATGATCTTTGACTGTAGACAGTGGGGGGAGAACATAGAACAGAAAAAAAAGTAAGATCATCAAAAACATAAAAGAGAAATCATGCACTGTTTTTTAGAAATAAATCGAGTACTGTATATCTGTATGTACTCTTTGGGTTTTTATGGAAATAATAAAGCATATCCTATATACCTGAAATGTACTTTTGTGAGCTTTAAGTCATGTGAAAATCCTGTTACCTCATCAAAAACATACCTGGAGTTGCACAAATCTTTGAGTCACTCTTTATTATTAGTCTGTCTACCTCAGAAGTAGTTTTCCAATTAGCAGCGACCTTTTATCTTTCGTTGAGAAGAGTTTGGCTAAAAAATATCCAAATGATTCTAATGAAGGTGTATGGTATTTAAAAACACAGTGGAGCTCTTCTGTTACCTGTATTACCACATCAGTATTTTCTGTTTAAGAGAACAACTCAGCCTAAATATGCAGGGCTTGTGTGTTAAAATGTGTGAATGAAACAAAACACAACTACAGGTATGTTTTTGATGAGGATTCAACATTATAACATTGATCAGAAAATAGTGTAATATGGGCCGACCCTTTAATTATGACACAAAGTTCATGCCATTTTTGGGTAACCTGCTGCTTGCCTAATATTATTATTTGAGTTTGACAATGATCTTGGAATTATAAATAAACTAATAATTTATCACATTCGCTGCCAAGATGTCAGAATGTAGTCATATCATTATATTTATTTAAAGCGTTAGTTCACCCACCCAAAGCATCTTGGAGTATTACGTTCTCCTCCTAGCACCATCAAGCCTCCTCATTAAAATCAACTGTCAGGATCATATTTATTTTGAGAGATGCAGAGGTGTACTGTATACATTTATAGACCTAATTCATCACTGACATAAAATCCTATTTCAAGTTGACCCTTGAATGCACCGCTATGGGTAAGAGGAAATTATCAATGAGCTGATAGTGGCTATATGTTTTCAGAATGTAAATTATTGTGAACGTATTATTATTCTTCCATAGTCTCGAATCTCTACAGTTTTAATCTGTGAAATTTTAAGCAATATTTCACCTTGAGTTGCCTATTTAATTTTCAACATTTGCATATTTCAAAATCCAAATTCCACACATAATGAGTCACCATTATTATGTTGCCAAATTTTTTTATCTATGAATAATCATGTGGAAAAACCAGCTTAACCTTAAGGTGATTTAGGGTGTTGAGGTGTGCTTCTGTTTGCAATGGCAAAGTGACAATAATGTGGACGGTACGGAAACTGTCTATAGTAGCCTACAATTAAAATTAATCATTACCATTTCAACTCCCTCTGATTCTTGTCAATGGGTGGGTGTCAGAGGTGGGACCAAGTTGTTGTTTTGCAAGGCTCAAGTAAGTCTCAAGTCTTTGATCTCAAGTCTGAGTCAAGACCCAAGTCAAATACAGGCAAATCTAAGTTGAGTTTCGAATCTCTGGCCCATAAATCCAAGTCAAGTCCAAGTCATCTGCTTTGAGCTTCAAGTAATTTCAAGTCTTTAAACCAAAAAACCAAATATAGTTTAGATTTTTGCAGTTTATGTGAATTTTAAACTAAACTGTATATTTATATAAGAGTATTTATATAACAGTTTTAGAAATGCAAATTTTTCCTTTTTAAATGTCTTGACAAGAGTGCAAATTATCACGGTCAGAACAGAAAGCGTTAAGGTTTAAGAGTGCTTAATAACAGTCAATTTGTCAGCTAGTCTAAGGATCAAGTCTTCTCATGTCTCAAAGCTCAAGTCCAAGCCAAGTCCCAAGTCACTGACCTTCAAGTCCAAGTCGAGTCCCAAGTCTTAGTCCATTTTATAAAATCAAGTCTCATGTCCAAAAAATAGTGACTCAAATCTGACTCGAGTCCAAGTCATGACTTGCAAGTCCCTAACACTGATGGGTGCTATAGGTATTTGTCACTATGGATAATTTTCAGCTGCGGCCATCAGTATTCCCTGGGCTGTGATCATAAACCGTATAAAGAAGAGGACTAAGTAAGCGTTTGACTCCAGTCACATGATACTACTAGTTATAGAGGCGAATTTGGAGCCAGATCCAGATTAGGAACAGGGATTTATTTACCAACATCATGTACAGTGGGTAATATGAAAATGTTAAGACCAACATGACGAGGCTCACTACAGCAGTAACTGAGAAACGGGTGACAAATTTCCAACTTAAAGTCAATTGGAAACAGAGCTGATGGAGGCAGAAGTGTCCCCACGCTCACATCCTATTTGGAACACAGTCGCTAGTGGGTTATCTATGTCCATTTATATAACTACATATATAATTATCTTACAGTCTGTGGGTAACTGTAGGCCTGCTCTGTCTGATTGTTGTTTCATCTTAGCTTTATTTTAACACAATATGACCATAAAGAACTGACTTAGTTGGAAGTACAACTGGTCTGATTTGTGCTGTCAAACAAGTGAATGCTCATATTGATCACAGACTCCTGAATTAGTTGTTTAAATCCAGTTAGCTTTTATTCCCCCTTGAATTTTCAGACAATCTAAAAACATTTTTGGTAATCATTGCTAATGTGTGCATTGTGTAACCATAGTAACCCATCATTTCACCATTAGAGATGTCATATAAATAAAATATGGCAACACTATTATACTATGTGGGTTGCAAATGTACAAATCTGCCAGTATGAGGTGCTTTTCTGCCGTAAACTGCCAATTTTGAATGAACTGCTACAAAAATACAAATGTGTTACACCACTTCCCTTTTCAACCTCAGTGACCTCCTCGTACAGTGAATCAGAGCAGAGCTGTGATGTGCGTGAGAGAGGGGTAAAGAGAGAGAGCGCGGGAGGACAAATCAAGGGCACGTAGTATTAACCAGCATGGTCGAGCTGCCAGGGTAAGGGAAAGAGAGAGAGAGGGAGAGGGAGAAAGAGGGAGAGAGCTATAGAGGAGGGGTGTTAAGGGAGAGAGAGGAGTGGGGAGTCAGAGAATGGTGTAAAAGAGAAAGCGAGTGAAAGCGAGAGAGGGATGGATTGAGATAGAAAGCGAAAAGAGGGGGGATAAGAGGGAACAAGAGGGGGAAGAGAGAAGAAGAAAGGGAGAGATGAGGAAGCAGAGGGAGGGACAGAAAGACGTTAGAGGGGGTAAGGGAGAGAGAGGGGGAGTCAGAAAGAGAGATAGAGAGGGAGGGATGAACGAATGAGACAGAGGATTAGTTCACATGGCTTAGGTCCTGATGGCAGCACAAACCAAGCTAACACTCTCATCACTAAGGGATATAATTCGCATGGTGCTGCTTTTTTAGTTATGTAACCAATACACCAAACTGCCAATACTCAATAACTGATACTAAATAGTCTTATTATATCAAAGGTCCAATATTACGCAAAACTATAATTCATGTGAGCTGTAAGTCATGTTAGAATGTTTTTACCTCCTCAAAAATGTACCTGGAGTTATGTTTTGTTTCATTCACACATCTTTAATACACAAACCCCGCACATTCAGGCTGAGTTCTCCTCTCAGAAACACTCATATTGTACATATAGGAAGTGCTCCACTGTGTTTGTAAATCCATACACCTTTACTGGGAGCATTTGTACCATTTCAGCCCTGGAATTGCCAATCTCTATTGAACTAAATGCAAAAGGTCACTCTTAACTTCAAAACTACTGCGCCATGACATCACAAGGTGGAACACAGCATTTTAAAATCCAAGTATGTTTTTGATGATTTACTTTGTTTACTTAATTTACCTCATCTCTTCCTTTGAGCTGTTATTAAATGTTGTTGGAAATCCCCCAAAGACAAAACAAAGCAGTAATAATGGTGAGAGATGGACAGGGCAGTGAGGAGGTGCACTGTTTAACGCCATCATGAGGTTATTTGAGGTCACTGCAGCAGATACTGACTAATCTGAAGTAGCAGATTGGGCATCCCTGTGCTGCCCAGCTAAAATCCTATAGTGATGAATGAGGGCCTGCATTGGTTCTATTTTTAGCCCGTGTTACCATGTGGGGAACCTTCTCTGCTTGTACACTAGGCATACTGTATAATTTTCTCCCATGCAGCACCATCCTAATCCTATGCATGAATGAAGAACATTATCAGCTCCATTCCACCAGGAGGAGTCAGAGATGTTGGGCTAATACACATAAATACACATATTTTTGTTTTTTATCTGTTAGTGCAGCTAGTCTAATAAGGGAAAGATACCACTAAAGTGAGTAATTTTCTGTATGCTATGCAGGTATGCTTTTTTTGGGTTTCAG